CTCTAGAAGGCCCATTATTGACACTTGTTTTTACATGAAGAATTTATTGATTTTATTCTTTACCTGAATTAAATTTAGATTTATCTTGGACTCTTGAATATCAAATTATCAACTAATTCAGATTTTATTTGGCTTTGTACAGGAGCAAAACCGAAACCAATCCAACCTGACTCAAACCAACCAGGTCGATTTGGCCTGTCAGTGAGTCGGTTTCGATTCCCACCTTAGCTAACCCGACCAGGTCGGGTCGGTTGGGAAAATCCCAAAAAACCGACCCAACCCGACCCGTGAACACCCCTAATGTTGGGGAATAAGATGTTGATTGTTGTTTTGGTAAAGTACTTCCATTAAAACAATGAAATTGAGTAAATGAACGTCACTCCATCAACAGATGGAGGTGGTACTTGCTGCCATATTTTAAACAGCCATCGGTCTTTGCTTTTGTCTTCTCATTCCCAATTTCCCATTGAGGTTTCATGAAAAGAGGAATAGAGGAGGGGAGAAATTATCGAGAAGGCAAGATGTGCGTGGCTGCGTGGATCGGAGGAATCTGGATTTCCTGCATTTGGGTTTGGTGGTGTTGGGGTGCACTTCTAATAAGATTCGAACATGTTTTACTTCGCATGTTTACTCCCATTAGATGTGTGAGCAAAGTTTAAAAATCGATCCGGAAATGGAATCATTCTTGCCATTGGTTTTTGGGTCAGTGGTTCTGCTATTTGGGTTAAACATTTAAATATTATAATTGGTGATATGTCATCTTACCTATTAGATTGGAATATTAGGATAAGACGCATATATATACAAGAGAAAAAGGGGTTGACTATTTGAGAATGAGAGAAATGTGAGAAACTGTTGATGGCTGAGAGAGTTTGGAAGAGAGAGAAGAAGAAGAAGAAGAAGAAGAAGAAGAAGAAGAAGAAAGAAGGAAGAGGAGGAGGAGGTCACTTGCAGGCTGCAGTGGCGATGGCGACGACGATTTACAATAGCAATAGTGATGGCGACGGCGACGGCGATAGTGAACTACAGTGGCAGCGGTGAAAGCAGATTTGAGATTTCTCTATCTCAGATCTCTCTCTCTCTCTCTCTCTCTCAGATCTATCATCTAGACCTGCTCTCCCAGATCTCTCTCAGTGTCTCACACATCCCTCAATTGATCTCTCTTTCCAGTAGATCTCATATTTGAGAGATCTTCTCTTTTCATTATTGCTCTAACTTAATAAACCGCAAACCGTTCTTCGGGTCGAACGTTTCAACGGTCAAATCGTTCAGGTCAATGCTTCGTTGACTAATTCAACAGTTTTTAACCAATAACCGGGTTTGGGGTAAAATGGAACCAGTCGCTTGAATGGGTTCCAGTCCGAACGGTCTGACCATCCGGGTCAACAACTGTTCGAAAACATTATGTGTGAGAAACTTTAATTGGAAGTATACCTGGTCAGGCTTGGTCATGTAATTAGGCCCGCGGGCCTGACCTCGGGCCTAACACAGTAAGCCCGACTGTGTTTCGGACCGGGCTCAGGATTTATCAAAAAAGCCCGGCCCGAGCCCGAGCCCGACCGACCCGATTCAACATTATATATTTTATAAAATACATAATGTGTATTTTATATATTATATAAAATATATAAATAATATAATATTTATTAAATATATATATATATATATTTATAATTTAATATATACATTTATTATTTTTTTCTTTATAATTTCTCTCTCTCTCTCTCTCTATTCACCCGCTTCAGCAGTAGTAACAGCATGGGCTAAATTTCGGGCTCGGGCCCAGGCCCAGGCTTCGGGCTTTTTATGAGGGCCGGGCTCGGGCCCAAGTTGTAGGCCCGATGGTCGGGCCGGGCTTGGGCCTTAGAAAAATCTGTTAATACAAAATGAAAGCCCAGCCCGGCCTGGCCCATGAACAGGTCTAATTGGAAGTTTGCCCGATCATGTATTTATAAAATATAGGGACAATTCCCGATAGGTACCCTGTATTTATAAAATATAGGGACAATTCCCGATAGTACCCGAACTTTAAAGCCTGACAATCTAGTACCCGAACTTTCGAAATGTGACAATCTAGTACCTACCGTTAATGTACCGTCAATTATGTATGTCACGTGAAATAATATGCGATTTAAGACTTTTGAAAATGTCAAAATTACCCTTGAAAATAAAACACACTGTTCATCATCTTCTTTCTCAAGAAAATGAAACAGAGTCCAAGCTCTCAACAACCCAAAATAAATGAAGTAACAAGCCCATGTTTTTAAAACCCAAACTCAGAAGCTTACGTGACAATCCTCCACTCTTCAGAAGCTTACGTCTGTGATGCCATAGTCTTGGCCCAGAGCATAATTCAGTCCAACTCCACCAAAGATTTGGTTCTACTTGCCGATGAATCCATAACCAAGACAAGCAAATCAAGCGCAGCCGAAGCCCCAATGCTGCCAGGAGAAACGCCTACAACGAGTGGAACTACAGTAAGCTGCGGATATGGCAGCTTACCGAGTATGACAAGATCATCTTCGTAGACTCTGATTTGGTCACACTCAGGAACATCGATGAATTTTTCCAGTACCCCCAGTTATCGGCCGTAGGAAACGACCAGGTTCTCTTCAATTCTGGGATCATTTTGATTGAGCCGTCGAAGTGTACGTTTAGGAAGCTGATGGATAGGAAGCAAAAGTTGACGTGGTGGAACCGATGGCCGTCGACTCTGAATTATCTAAAAGTTTTCGAAGAGACCAAAAGTAGTGAAAGAGAGAAGCTGCCGGAGTCTCTGTACACGATTCATTATTTGGGGTTGAAGCCATGGATGTGTTACAGGGACTACGACTGTAACTGGGATATGGGGAAACGTCATATATTTGCGAGTGACTCGGCTCACAGAAAGTGGTGGCAAGTGTTCGACGCAATGCCGAAGACATTGCGACCTTACTACAGCCTCACTAAGAAAATGGATGCAAGGATAAACAAGTGGAGAGAACGGGCGAAGAATGCCAGTTTGCCCGACAGGCACTGGAAGATCAAGGTTAAGGATCTCAGGCAACACCATTGATAGATTGATAGATTGATAGATTGAAGAAGCTCACTTTTCCCTTCATTTTTAAACTAACAGCTAACAAGTAGAACCCTAGCCTAGCCATTAAATCAGATAGACGGAATGCATTACATCCAAAGCTGAAAATTGTATCATACAAGTTGATAAAATATTCTAGTGAGATCCTATCATACAAGCTGAAAATTCTAGTGAAATATCAAATATTTCACATGATTTTTTAGATTGCATCAACATATTTCTCATTTTCTCTGAACCCATGAAAAGTAATTGGAAGGCGTAGTGGCATATCCGAAGTTCATACTATTAAAATAGTAGTTATAACCCAGCAGAGGTGACCCTCTAAAGAACAGAGAAAAGATGATTTTTTGAGTTCTGATTTATGTTATTCACATGAGAGGAGAGGAAGAGAGGAATAGGGGTGTCGGTGAAACTGTCGTCGCTCTTTGATTATCGAAGCCCCAAAAGATTGTTGAATACTTCTTCCCCTTTTTTCCTTTCTTAATTTAAAATATGTTTTAAAAATACATGACGGGGAAAACTTCCCGTTAATTTTCTCACATATTTAACCAGGGTGACCATGCAAAATAAAACGTGTTCAAATCTGATTAGAAGTGCACCCCATCATAGGGGTGTCAATTGCACTGGATTTGGTTCAATCTGATCCAGTCCAATGTGAATCCATTACAAATGGACCTGGTCCAATGTAGTCCGATGAATATTTTGAACCGGTCCAGAGACTGTCCAATCTGTTCAAATTCCTGTTAGTTTAGATTGGTTTCAACTCAAACCTGGTCCATTGACACCCATGTTCTTATCTTCTATCAATGGACCAGATATCGGTTTAATCCAATATAAATTCATTATGGGCGGACCAGGTCCAATCCAATATGTCTTATTGGTCCGTCCAATCCATATTCAGTTCTCTCGAAGACTGATTTCAAATTTTCTTTATTGTTTCAAAATTTAAAGTTTAAAAAATAAAACAAGAGAGAAAGTTTCCATTAACAAGACACACATGTATGCCGGGGTATGTGAAATGTGGCGTGCAATGTTGTGATTGGAAGTGCACCTTGGCATGGAAAGTTGGAATTCAAATAAATGAGGAACAAACAAGTTTCAAAGTTTTGATTCATATATCGGGGGCTTCTCGATACGCCCCTTCAGTGGGTGTTTTGAGTCAGACCATGGTTTAGGGGGTAGACGGGCCTTAAATCGACCCCTCTGAACCAGATTGAAAAAAAAAAAAAACTAAAAAAAATGGAGAAACAACCCTTGATACAGGCCGATATGCCCCTACCAACGTATTGACCTATATCAATATTTTGAACTTTGGGAACAATGGGAGGTCAAGGGTAGATATGGTATTTTATAAAAATTAATCCATTAGTCGGCATTTTCCGTTAACGGAAGGGAGGTATTTGTACTTTTATTTTTAAAAAGCAAGGGGAGGTTTTTGTTAAAGTTAAAATATAAGGGAGGTTTATACAATTGTTAGAAAACCCAAGGGATGTTTTTATATTTCAATATTTCATAATATTTATTTATTTATAAATTTCAATATATTTTTTATTTATAGTATTTTAAATATTAATTTATTTATAAAATTTTAATAGTAATTTATTTATAATTGGCTCAATCTGCGTTGAGCTTGAGTAGCTTGCGAGTATCAATTTGAGTCAAGTTTGAATATGAAATTCAAAATTTGATTTACTTGGAGTCGAATTTTGAGCTTTGAGTTTTTGAGTTGGCTCAAGCTCAAGCCACCCAAAACTCGACTTGACTAGGTTCGATTACACCCATAGTGTATAAAATTCACATCCATGGCCATGGATATGGGATACACCACAACTAGGCATGTATCTCACACATCATGTATCGACATGATACGCTTTCTGTATTGGGTTGTATCGCATTGCATCAGCGGATACAATTCGATACTCATGGATATAGAAGTGTATCGGTGCGTAGTTTGGCGAAACTATATATTGAGACTTTTGGACTGTTTTTGAACTTTTAATAAAAAATGAAAATTATAATTTAAAAAATGGAAATAAATAATTTAATAAAAAATTAAAGTTATAAAAATAATTTATTTTATCTATTTCAAATGATTTATATGTTTTATTTTACATGTAAATTATACATTAAAAATGAAAACTGGTTTTTTATTTGAAAAAGTAGAGTTATTATTTATATAAATGCTAAAAAATGTTTTTTCTTAACAAAAATTAATAGAAATTGAAAATTATAAAAGTAATTTATTTGTATACCTTAAATAAATTATGTGATTTATTTTGCAATTATATAAAACAATCATATGTTAAAAATGAAAATATATTTATTATTTAAAAAAATATAGTTATTATTTATATAAAAAATACTAATTAAATAAATTTTCCCAATAATTTTAAAAAATTAAAAATTATATGTGATAATTATTATACGACGCATGCACGTTTTAGAGTCCTAGTACTATTTATTGCAATGTTTCTATTCATATAATCTATTAAAGTTGCATTTCTCATGTGTTTATGCCTTATACATATCCATGCATTTAGTATTATTATTGTACTTATGTAATTTGTATGCATGCATTTCGTAATGTATCCAAGTGTTTCAATATCTTTCATCCATATTCACGCATTTTTAAAACGTATCCATATCTATACGTATTTGAATTCTTCGATAATAATTTGATCCATTGTGGCAATTCATATTTTTGTGTCATACTCGTATTTTTGACCAGGCAAGAGCATTCATGGTTGACATGAATACAACATCATTAAATTGATCGTATCAAAATTTTAAACACAAACATGATTTATTGATTACAAATTTACACGTGTAACACCACATGACCTGCGTAACATGAATTAATACGGTTAACTTATTTAATTCTTTACTAAATGACACATATGACCCAGGAAATCAACATGATTACATTGCAGAGGAGGCTAACCCTAAACCCATTGTGCTTGACTGTTTGGGAGGATATGCATAATGTGTTACATGGTTATATGTATCCATGAACACGGAAAGTGAAAGCGCGGGGAGTAGGCCAAAGAGTTCACATCTCTGCCCGCCCCACAATGCCCCACAGTACATTGTCGCCATATATTGGGAATATCTTCCAAAGTGAGTTTAACAGCGAATGGTAGACCCTCGGCCTCTCAACTACTCTTTTTATAGGAAATTCAACGACCAGGATTAGTCTGATTCAACGATTATGATCATGCACTTCCAGCTTTCTGCACCCTCCGAAATTGAAACAGCGCTGATGCTCTATTCCTCAAACCACAACCTTCATTTATCCCAAATTGTCACCTTCATTGACGGACAAGGCACGCAGAAGTTCATACCAAAGCAATGGTCACCTTCTTCGCCTGAAGATGAACTCAAGCCCACATTTGCTCTTGCTCTTGTCTCACCTTGAGAGTTGAGACATTGACTCGGTTAACTTAACTATCGGGATCTTTGCCCCTAAAATCACACCTTCAAGGTTTAAAATTTCACAAACATACCTCAATATGGGCTGTATGATTATAGCCTACACTTAATTCATTCTCGGGGTTCCTTATTTATCATAAAAAATTCTTTAATCTACATTTAATGTCAAATTCTCTCCCTCATTGATTAGTTAATTGTTCCAATTTGAATTTAAATTCTAGCGCCTAATTCGAATCCTCACTCATTAATTAATGATCCTCTCTCTTCCTTTTGTTACTCATTAATTACATAGCCATCGATTTTACCTCTTATAATTGTTAGTATAAAAACTACCTTAGTGATAAAATAATTCTTAGTGGATGTTTGTCCATAAATGCTAGAATTAATTATTAAAATTTATATATTAATAACTATTAAGATAAATATATTGATTATTTAAAAATTAAAGTAAATATACTTTTTAATTATTCCATCATTTTACAATGGTTACTATGTCCCAATATCTCACATTTTATATAAACCATTAAATTATGGTTTTCTTTTACATTTAAATAATTTATTTAGAATCATATAAAACTTGTAATTATTGTTATTAATATATATTTCTTAAAATTTATTTGAATTTCCTAACATATCTATGCATATCTTGATTTTTCGTCCGGATTCAAAACATATCCCAATACATCTATTAAAATTGACTTTCTGACACACCCCATGTTTCCCATACTTTAAACCTTGGCATCAATTACCATTCAATAAATACTAATTTCATCTTTTATCCAAGAAAGCAACTTCAACGTAGGTGCCTAGGTGGTGGATGTGTGTTTTTTTTTTTCTTTAACTTTTTCCCCTAAACTTCATCAGGATGATCCTCTCCCACCAATCACTCCTACAAATTTTGACCGCAAGCTTGGCTAGCTTGTGAGCTACACGATTACATTCTCTAGGTACAAATCTTAGGGAGATGGAAGTGTTCACAAAGAGATATCTGAAACCACTCACAATGGAGGAAATTCTCCATATGCTCAACTTTTGGTTTTCTCATCTAGCACATCTTTTGCGTAGGCTTCATTTTTTAAATTACTTGCATCATACTTTATCTTTTCACCTTTTTTTTTTCCTTATGGTAATTAGCTAGCTAATTTTCTTCTTTTCCTTAATGTTAATTTAATGTTGAATATAACCTACTTTTATTTGTCCTCAACACTTGAGTTTTTGATGAAGCAAGGATCGAAAGGAAACAAAGGGTAAGAAAGAAAATTAGAGGTTCAAATGTTAGATCCCACTTCTGATTTGTAAAGAGGATCAGATAATATTCTGAGTTAATGAGGGAAGACTTAGTTTCTTACACTTTTTCTTTCATTGGAAGCAAAAAAATACAACTACTTGATATACTGCAATTAACACGCTATTTACAGATATACCAGCACAGATTAGATTACATAAAACTGATAAACAAAAAAAAAAAAAAACATACTCAAACAACAGACATTGGAACAACACCGAGGAAAAAATTAAACATGCAGGTTACCGGTTTCCCATATTGGTCACAAATGGGACGAGCCTTCTGTAGTCTCTCCTCCTCCCAAGAGGACAAGTGTCAAGCACCCGTCCCAAAATCAGGCGTGTATTTTGCAAAGCTACCTCTCTTGCTGATGGACCTGATTCAACCACACCTCCCGGTACTGCTGGTGTCGAGCCAGTACCAAAGCCTGACCCCATGCTGAATTGCAACGGTCCACTCCGAGCCTTAAACGAGCTCTGAGGAGCAAGAATCTTATCCTCAGCCCCACTAAATCCATTCTCCAAATATCCAGGCTCGTGAGGGTGGGAGCCAGTAAATGAACTACAGCTTTGCAGAAGGGCTTCCAACACACTCAATGCCTCCCAACACAATGTGCTCTCCACCAGCTGTGACACAATTGCATACACATGTGGGCTCTGGGCAGCATCCATGGGTGTGTGCTGGAGCAAAGCCTTGAGCATGAGCAGTATCACTCGTTGATATTCAACTGGCCCCTTCTCCAGGAGTCGTAACAAGTGCCCAAATGCCAATGCTGAATGCTTTGGAAACCACACAGCACACAAAAGTGGTGACACACAAGCAAGTAGGTTATCAATGGAAGTGATTTCACCACGGGAGTAAGCAAGAAATACAGTTGCCAGATCGTCCAGTGATTTTGCCCTGCACCAAATTGCAATGTTGGAAGCGACGGAACAAGCTTTTTGGTACTGTTGTTGTAGCGGGGAAGCAGGTCCAACTGCCGAGTCCTTACTGAGCTGTAAGCAGAGCCAGGGAAGCAACCCAGTAATATGCATCAGAAGCCGTGTCTCAGCATCCCCAAATATGGAGTCACACGAGTGCACTGTAATCCGTGAGAGGACTTCAATAGAAGACCCATGACTTACTGTTGAAATAAGCCCTTTAAGAACAAGAGGTTGCACTCCTTCAAAGGCTGGAACCTTGCCATTCACTGGTGGAGGTTCACTGCCAATTCTAGATTCCATTCGTTGAAGTTCTTCTGGGCCACAGCCAGTGGTGTCAAGCTCATCACGGGGCATGCTTGAAAGGAGTACATTCTCTGTCGTTCTGTCTCGGAATGATAGTCGATCAATCACACGGGCAAAAAGCTCAAGCACTTGACAGTAAACATGCACAAAATCTGTGTGCATTATTGCTACACAGCCCCAGAAGAGCTGTGGATAGAGTATCACCTTCTCAGGTTCCATGTTCTCCACCATCACTTGCAAAGTCAACAGAATCTCCATGATGAAGCCCAGAACCGCTGGCACGGGGTTCCCAAGGCACCTGTGGAGACACCGTAGGAGGGAAACACATGTGTCACTTGTCACATTGGGCCGTAATGCACGGTAAATTTGGTGAGAGCGGCATGCAAGGTGCCTGGATGTGCACTCCATGGCCCATTTAAGAGCCTCTGCACCCCATGTCTCCCGGAGATCCCCTTGAAAAAAGATTGCATCAACCATGCTCTGCACTAGGGCCGACAGAAGGGCAGCACTAGGGAGTTCAGTCCGTGTGACAGTTGGGTCTTCATTCTCCCACATCATGCTCCCTCGCTTCGACTGGACATACTTGATCAGGCTTACAACTTGCTGTTTGTTCTCCCCATCACAATTTTCAACCCCATATAGCTCCAAGTGCCTACCTGCAAGCGAGTATAGCAGATTAACAAGCAAGTGCTGGCAGTGCTCTAGCACAATATCTTCAGAGCTATCCATTGAGACAAATGTGACATGAAAGAGCAAAGGTAGGTGCTCTCTAAAATCTTCATCATTCTCATAAGCAATCTCTGCAAGTAGAATCAATGCTATATCAGCATGAGTGAGTGAGTGCTGTTGGTGCCCCTGCAGAGCTGACTGGAGTTCTCCAGCATTGACCCCATGCAACCCAATGCCAGAAAGCAACCCATCTTCCCCAGAGTTCGGTGTATCAATGAGATAGTCTCCACTGTCTCGGGAAACATGGCGACTCCTCAAGCTCCCAGTTGAGCTTCGGACCCCCATCAATGGCCCTGACATGTTTACCAATGCTGGAAGGAGCTGTCCTGACCGACCAGCAGTGACAGGAACAATGTTCATCTCTGGAGGAATTGGACTTAGTGGCCCTGAAATGCTACGGCCTGTCACGGCTGCAGTTCGCCAACTCAGACTCCCACTTGTGTTCCTAAGTGGACCATCAAGTGAACCTCGTACTAGCAATGGTGACATGTGTGGTTGACTGTCCATAACTGATGCAACTTGAGTTACTGTAGGTCCCTGAGAGAACTCCAAGACAAAATTTCCACCAGCATCACCCTTGTTTGCACTTGGTCTGACTGGTTCCACACAATCCTCCAGCATCCGCTGAGCTAACTGGTAAACCAAGTGATCAATTGTGCGCTGTGGGCATATCCGAGCCAGGTACAAGCTAACACGTTTGGCAACTGAAAAGTAAGTTGCAAAAGCTCCGCTTATTTCAGCAGAAGCATTGGAATCACAATCTTCTATTCCCTTGGTGATCAAGAAATCAAGAACAGGACTGATATTCTTGGGCTTGCTAGCAATTGTGCTCCATAGCTTTTCAATTTCATCAGGAAACTGGTCTCCATGTCGCCATGTAACATAGTAAAGACTTTTTAATAATCTTTCACTCCACCCTGAATCTTTAAGTTTCCAGAAGTTTAGGTTCTCAATCCAGGGAGCCATGCATGTTAAGACCTGATGCTGTGCAATTATGTCCACAGCATCAAGTTGTCGCTGCATGATTTCCTCACAGAGGTGCTGGCTCAGCTCTGGATGATCTTTGGCAAGCTTGCATGAAAGTTTGTATTGGAACTGCTGGTAGGAGTCGGGGAGATTGCCAACAACTGCAGCTCGATAGCGACCTGAACCCTCAGTGCCTTCCTCAGCCCATTCACGGACAGAGAGTGTCTCAAGCATCTGAAGTGCGTCATCACGGATTTGTCTGGATGGATCTACCACCTTGTAGAGGATCAAACTCAGAAGTCTTTGAATTTCACATTTTGGGATCTCTTGGCGCATGTAGACTTCAGCAAGCACACTGAAATAGCCATCAGCTATGGCAGCATCTGAGTAGTAGCACTAAAGAGAAATACAATGTTATACTCCTTTCTGAAGATATTAATAAGGTATTGTTGTAACAAAAAATAACAATAGGGAGAGATGCAACATGAAATATAGCGAGGATCTATACCTCCTCCAAGAATCATTCAAGCAAGGGAATTGACTCTATAGTTGGACATCCTTGTAAACTAAGTTAAGACAATTACCTGGTCAATGCAGGCAGGAAACAGGTCCAAATTTGTCTGCAGAAGATTCTTCAGAGCTGTTTTTGCTAGGGAAACGCGGAGGTGGCCAGTCCTATGTCTATCTCGTCCAGCAGAAGCACGGCCTCCATCTCCTGTATATTTTGAATAAGATGGGGTCCTTGGATCAGCAGGTGAATACCCAAAAGGTGCCCTAGGTGCTGGCTCAATGAACAAACTGTTAATCCATGAAATCACCCTGCCACTCATCTTTCTTGCGTTGTCATCAAAGCATGGCCCATACAGTAGTGAAGCCATGGCATTCATAGAGGCCCATTGAATTGCCTCAACTTGCTCATTTATTTCTTTATCAAATGAGATTTTGTCTATTGAATCCTTTGAACGACTGTGCTGAGCTGACTTGTATCGCTCAATTTCACGACGGTAATCACTGACAGCATCCTGACTCCACATACTACCTGTGTCATCACACCAAGAGAGAAGAAGATCAAACAATCGCTTTCGGGTTCTGACATCAAATTTCTCTGACCTTGACTCCACAAATTCTGGGGCCAGTGATCTTAGAACAGAGGCTAATGCAAAACGGAGAGGTTGCATTTCTTGAAAGCTCTCAGGGGGTGCAGTTACAATCTGTTTGGTTGTTTCTTCAATGAATTTCAAAAAATGTAGACGAAAAACCGGTTTCCGACTCAGCATTCCAGGCCAGATATTCTCAGCAACAGTACGATATATATTTGCAATGTGAACACGGAGTTCGTCACGGCGGGCTTTTTGACTCTGCATCCATTACAAGGAATATATTTACCAAGGCTTTGGTTAGACATTGAAAAATCTGAGAAATGTCAATATGCATTAAAATAATCTCCCTAACTGAGGTGTCTAAGCAAGCACATGTATTTAATCTTTCATATCAAGTCATTTCCTACAATATATGCAGGCATTGCCTATGTGACCAGAACTGAAATATATTATAATTGAAAAAAAAAACTATTAAGTTTTCTCTTCTTAGGAATAAAGATCTCTTTGGTTAAAGTACGGGATATCTTAGGCATCCATCATTTATCATACCTTCCATTTTGGTTTTCCCTCTGTTTCCAGTGAGACCTCCTCAACAAAAGATGCAAGCTCACCAAACATGATTTCACAGATTTCCAAATGTGAGTGACCCAAAGCCATTGTAGCTGCAGTCTGAAAAGCAGAAAATGAATAAAAAAGAAAATGAAGAAGATCCATTATACTTTTCAATCTAAATACCAATTTTTTTAACATGATAGTTTTTGTGGCATAGAAATGATTATGTTCAGAATTTGGAAAAGGATACCTAAATAACCAACAGTGAACCCTAGGAATCAATTACCAAATAACATAAACAACTATATCGCATTCATGATATTTGTATCTGCACTGTTCCCAAATAGAGCCTAAAAGACAAAGCAATATGTAATCCAGTTTACCCATTATCAAATGGTCCTTCAAACAATCAATCAAAATGATTTTTACCAACTACCAAATGGACTTTTCTCCAGACAAACAAATGTAGCTTTTAATACTGTTCAAAAGACAGAAAATATTGGACATCATATTCAAAATAAGTTATCTGTAGGTCCAATCACCCCCCTCCCCCATACATACCAAATACTGTTGCTACTCTACCCCTATCATTAATCCAACAGATACAACTATCTAGGAGTGCAAATCAAATTGCCGATTTGAAGAATTTCAACTACATCAAGTTTGGGCCCATTGAAAATGTAACAAATACCCAGACCAACCAACCCAATTTGCATTCCTACCACCATCATAGAGTTGGTCCTTCAAAAGATGCAGGAGCAATACCAATCCACAAAGATATTGCCAAATTAGTGATTCTAAAACATAAAAAGGTTGAATTAGAATTAACTTACTATGTGAGCTTCAGATCCAGATTTGAGTGAAGGAAAAATAAGATGGTAGAGTTCTTTGGTTGCTGCTACACCACCAACTTCTCTACTATCAGGTGGACAAGAGCATGCAAACATTGCATACATGAGCCACTGATCTAGCTTATTTTCAGCTTCCTGTGACTGATGAGCCTTCCCACCTAACTCTATAGGTGTTATATGAGCCAGGCGTTGCACAACTTCCAGCCTGCAAACTCAACAATAAGTCACAAATGCAACCTTAGTGGTTTCTAGTTGAAAATGATCAATTTTGAGTTAGAAACAAAACTTGAATAGCATGAGATATTAGAAGCACCATAACACATATCAATCAATTTCTTAAGAGATGAGCAAAATTCCTAAATGTTAACTTCTGTGAACCACATGGAGATTTTCTGTGCTGAGATATACATGGAAACATGTTTTGCTGTTCTATTTTAAAGACTATTTTCATAAATGAATGTTTCCTCAAATTAAATGTTTAGATTTAGATCTACAAGGTTCAGAAAACACTTTAGTCCAACAGGAGTTCAACTAGATCAAACTCATGTTTCTTTTTCTTTTTTTTTTCCTATTATTGACAAAAAAAAAATCATAGCAGTGTGAACAGAAACACAAAACAACAGAACTCCTTTAACAGAGAGTATATGCCAAACCAGACATGTATTTATGGAGAAAAAGAAAAAAAATAAAAATAAATAAAAGCAATACCTTATCTGGAAAAAGCAGGTCCTAAATATATAGGTCACTCCTATCCTAATAATCGTGGCCACAGTATCAGCTATCAACTCAGGTTATCTTCTGATGCATCGGAACAAACTGTTAGACGAGACCCTAGCCTCTTTGAGGCTATAAAGAATCAAGACAGCTTGTCTTCCACTGCCAGTCCCAAGCCTGGATAAAGGAGGGTTGTGTCAGGTTGGCAGCTAGCACTAAAACTTTTACCAAACTTTCTTGATCATGGATCCTGATTTTGCACCTATGAAGGGCCATCTCACTTAAATGCCAATCTATTTTGTACATGGCACAATGAATGATTTTTCATATTCTTTATTTTTTGAGATTATAATAATAAAGTATATATTATTAGACTGGATTGTTCATTTTGTGGGTTTATGCACTAGTTTCTTTTATTATTTTCTTGTTTGTTAGGATTCAATCAACATATATGTTATTGTATAATGTCTTGAACCCTTGAAAATATTTTCTGAATTTTCTTTTCTTTCTTCTTTTTCTTCTCATGAATAGGTTGATTTTCTATGTCTTCTTTTTTGATCAGTATGTTGATTTTCTATGTTTTCATACAAGTTAATACTTTTTCTATGAAGATTATGGAAAATTACAAATGAAAGATGGTTGCTAGTTGCTATGGAACCTAAGGAATTAGCCTAGGATTCACGATTTTTACTTAAAAAAAACAAAAAAAAATCTAAAATCCATCACCTAGGTGACTAGGCAACAAGGCACCCCTCATGGTCTAGCCTCGCCTTGGTGCCTTGATATGGTGTCAAATAGGCAAAGGATATACTAGGGTGGTTTCTAGGAGCAACTTGTCACAACAATGTCTGGTTATGGTGTTAAATAGGCAAGGGTTCCTGCACCCTTTTGGATGGGAGTAGGTAAAGAAGCTAGTCCAAGAAACATGATCTCATTTAATCACTTAGAATGTAGGAATATTAACAAGAAAGATTATGGAATTAATAAACACAATGAAGAGGAGGAATATTGCATACTTACAAGATACTAAATGGAAGGGCAAAGAGTTGATAATAAAATAATTTTAATCAAACTTATTTTAGGAGAGAAAGTCAGTAATGTAATTAGTGCCCATGCACCACAAGTTTAGAAGAAAACATTAAAAGAGAATTTTGGAAAAACCTAGAACTAATCCAAGAAATTCCAAGTGAAGAAAAAAGATCTTAAAAAGAGGAGATCTAAATGGATGTGTGGAGAAAGTAAGTGCAGGTTATGTTATGGAGCATGGAGGATTTGGGTTTGGGGAGAGGAATGAAATAGGAGATGCAATCTTAGAATTTGTAATTACTATGTAAATATCCATACAGGAGTATGAAAATGAAATAGTGGGGAAAAAACAAGAAACAATTTCATTGTAAATCCAAGATCTCCATAGGATGCATCACTATTTTTAATTTTTAATTACGTCATACTTTAGAAGCTTCAATCATGCGTCCAGATCATAATTCTTTGATGCAAAAATCAACTAATTTGATTGGTCCAACTAGCCAAGTTGTCTCCTCCAATGGAAGCCATATTGTTCCCTTTCTGCAACTTTTGAGCACTCAAAGCTAGATTTGTTGGGCACCAGGAAGTGTAGGTCAAACTCTCCTTTAGAGCTGATCGTATTACACGTTCTAAGCTCTCCAAATATTTTATATATTAAGAAATGCAGATTTCTAAGGAAGTGTGAGATCCTATTAGAGCTTTCATCCTTAAGGATTAGGGCTTCTAAAGAGATACCTTGTCTCTTTACTCTAATTGGAATCTTCCAACTATTCTCTAATCTGTGGTCAGGATTAAAAAAAAACCTCTAAAACTGCAAAGAGTCCAACAACACATTTGCACTCAAGTCCTTAAGTCTTGGAAATTATCACAATGGCTTGTTCATGCATAGTAAATTATAATTCAATCCTTCTACACTACAATGGCCAAATCTGATTGTGATACCACGTCCATAGCCGTTGCCACAACCAATCACCATTTCATGGTATTTAACCAAGAGTCTGATATAAAAGCCTCATAAAACTCAATTTCTTGTTTTGAAACTCTTTCAAGGAAGCTCCTAGCATATAATCACCTAGGTTATTAGGGATTAGACACTGCTGCAGGATAAGCCCTAGAAACTTTCCTTTGAGTTCACTCCTTTGGAACTAAAACGTACAACCCTAGTGTAATTAGGATTCCTCCTCAGAGTCCTAGTTCAACCAGAATTCTTTCCACATTCATCTGGGTGTTAGCAAGGAGCTTGTACAAGAATCCTAGCCTCATTAGGATTCCTCTACAGAGTCCTAATTCAACTAAGACACTTCGCCCAACTCAAGTTCTTGGCAGTGACACTCTCCTCTTGTTTGAGGGTGTGAATCCCTTGTTGGGCATAGTTTTTAAGGCACCAAGGCGAGGCTAGGCGACAGGGGGGGTGCCTTGTCACCTAGTCGCCTAGGCGATGGATTTTTTTATGTAGAAAACATAGATCCTAGGGTAGTTCCCTAGGTACCATAACCATATTTCCTTAATAATTATTCATAATTTTCATAAGAAAAGTATAGAGTTCATGTTAAAGTATAGAAAATCAACATATTC